TTGGCCTCGGCTCTCCTCCGCGCTCCCTCCCGCGTTTCCCCACCTGCCCCCCACCTCCCTCCCGCGGCCTCCCCGCCCCGGGTGCCGGCCCCTCTGGCTCCCTCTCCCCCTTCCTTATCTCTCCTTCCCACCGCCCTTCTGCCCTCTCCCCGGCCCCCAGTCTCCGCGCCCTCCCTCGCGCCGGTCGCACTTTCTAGCCCTCCTCCTCTTCCCCAGCCCCCTTGTCTCGCTCTCCGCGCCCCCACCCCGCTCACTCCCCTCTCCCCTCTTCCCTCCTCCAGATCTGTCCTCCCTTCTCTCCAGCGATCCCCTTCCCTTTCTAATCCCTTCTTGCCGCCCTCACTTTTCTCTCTCCTCTCTCCTCTTAACCCTGTCCCTGCTTCCTCCTTACTTTTCTTCAACTCTTCCTCTCTCTCTTTTTCCCACCGTTCTGTCCCTATTATCTGGCTCGGTGTCCCTTTATAGCCCTGCCCTGGACTCGATGCTTCTCTCCACCTACCCCTGAGCACACTGCCGTCTGCTCCTCTCCAACGACCTTAAAAGACATCCACCAACATCAGACTCGGTCTTGTCACTTGTCCAACTTGATTTTGATCAGTGTCCCGTTTTGTACCCAGAAGCAAATCCCATCCAGATCGAGCTGCATGGTAGCGTTTAACTCCTTGGGATCTTGATCTGGAGCTGAAGACCCTTCTCCCGTCCTTGACAGCTCTCCGTCTTCCTCTTTCTTTCTCACTTGCTCATGGCAACCTCTGAGCATTCTCTCTGCTCCTGCCCCTCTTCTGAAAGAAAGGGCACCGAGTGTCACTCGAGCGATGGCCTGAGAGTTTCTCCCACTTCACTTCAGCCTGCACGGAGGCGGACTTCTTTTTCGCTGACCACCTCCATCTCCCGCCAGAGTGACAGCCTCAAGGAATTTCTAGAAGAGCACAGGATCAATAGACCCTTGCAATGGCACCTGCTCTGTAAAATGATTATTGGTTTAGAATAAAGACCCCCCCCCCAAGTAATAAATCAAAGTAATGATTTTTCTCTTGTGCACATTTCTTGCATGAGCTGGAAGGGTCAACAACAAAGCAATGCTACACACCAAAGTCAACATGACAGCTCTCTTCTATTCTTCCAGACACACAGTAGTCACAGATGTTAATTCTGAGAATGGCAAACAGATTCACACTTTCTAAAATGAAGAAAGACCCGGGGTACTGAAAGAGTTAATTGCTTATGTTGTGTATTCTTACAACAGAGATGCAATACCCTTGTGTCACTTAGTGCCCTTGGGGCTATGTCAGAGACAGAAAACCATGCTGCATGAGCCCAGGGATGCCAAGTCTTATGTTCTTATGCTATGAAACATTAATGATCAAAGATTATGAGGTATTCATTAGATGCTAAATGTCATTACTCCACAATTTAATGGGACTTATTAATTAGTGCCCCATATCAATTGGTATTAATGTGATTTATATATTTCCTCCGGAATGAAATCTGTAAAGGAGGTATCGGAATCTTGCTCAGATTTATTTTCATTGCTGTTTGTGCTCACTGTCTTCAGAGGGTATATTTCCAGAGGAAACTTGTACCTCTTCTGAGCTCTTTAGTTCACAGATAGGTCACTTAGGCATATCTTTCAGTCATATCAGATCCCCGTGCCCATTTCTGCTGACCTGACAATGTGAATTATTGGATTTTCTCACAGCTTGAGCAAGATCTATGGTGAGCTCTAGTCTAATTAAGGAAGACAAAGAATTATAATTTTGGTGTTCCTCTCACCTATAAGCTTTCTTGTGAAAGGAGATACTAAACTCATCAAAGGAGTCTTATCTGGACTTACACAAAAATGATGAGACTTAGAAGCTTTCTTTAATTTATACTCTATAATATGCGTAAGTCCTAGATCTTTACGGATACAAAGAGAATACCTTTAACTGTGAGCCTACAGTTGGCATCTGAATTTCACTCAAGTTGTCATGTGTTCTTTTAATTAAAAAAAAAAAAAAACTTGAGATAAAGTGATTACAAGTCTTAAGGGTGGTCAGAGCTTTTACAAGGCCTCACTCCCTTTTCAAACACTGATGTTCTACAGGAAATAAATTCTGCCACACTTCAGAGTCACCTGATTATCTTCACACAATAACCCAACTAGAATAGACAGAAAGAAACCTCTTTCTTAGGCATTTCTAGTGAACTTAAAAGAACACAATGTTCTGCCTATTTTTCCTAGCCAGAACTCTTGAATCATACCCTTCCTTAGAAAATAGCGTTATTCTCAAAGTTCATTTATGTCTATGTTTAAGACCAGCCTCAGCATATAATTCAAAGGTTACTAAATGATGGATTACCCTTGACAGTATTTCATTAAAAATGTCACACATTACAAATATGGGCCAGCAGCATGTGAGGAGCACACTGCCTCTGCTGGTGCAGCATTGATGCCATCAGCGGGGATGTGACATATGATGTGTACACAGGCTTTGCTACAGCAACTGTACATTGCTCCATCCATATTCTTAAAATTTCTCTTTTGGATAACCCCCACTCTTTTGGAGGAGTGGGGAATACAAAGATAAATAAATGGTTCCCATCTTCAAGATGCGCTAAGTTTAATGGCAAGGGACAGACACATAAACTGTTCTATGCGCTCTAGTAGAAATGAGAACAAAGTGTTGTGGGAACACAGACAATGAAAAAATTAACTGCTTGAGGGGCATCAGGCAGGCTACTTAGAGACAGTAACTTCTGAGTTCATTCTCAAAGGATGAGTTAAACTTTACCAAGAGGATTTGATCAGGCCTACTGACATTATGGTCAGACTATAACTCTTTGATTTATATGTCTACCTTGCAAATTTGGAGGCTTCAATATTTTGATCCACTGTAAAATAAGAATTTTTTCCTATGTTTTTAAATTATTAAGTCATCATGTTCTAATGTCTGACTACAAGCTAAATACTTGCTGATGAGTAGAAGCAGAAGTCTAAGCCAGAGTATAGCTAATGTAAGAGGGCACTTAGCCTGGCAGGGCATCAACGTACTCTGAGATCGAATGTCCAACCAGAACACTGTGGAATGTCTCAGCTATGGCTGTGCTGTGACCTCAACGTTTTCAAACTTAGCTTGTTCCTCACTTGTCTTAAAGATCTGATATCCTCTCCAGATCTGATATCCCCTCCAGATCTGATATTCCCCATGCATCCCTCAAAGAGCAACAATGTCCTAAAATGACAGAGATGGAGCCGGAGAACTTCCACCTGGGCATCTCTCACTATATGATTGAATTCAATGTGCCAAAATTAAATTCTTATATTTCCCTATGGTCCAGCTGTCCCTCCCCACTTCTCTCTCTCTGGTATTGACAAGTCATTCAAGTCGCTCAAACTCAATATTTTAGAATTATCTACCACATTAAAAAAATGGTATGGATTCTTCCTTTGACATGTCTTTTATAGCCAATTTTTCCTCTACATTTCTACCAATTGCTGTCACTATGCTTTTCTCACCTCACATCCGGATTGTTATTACAGCTTCTTCCTTGGTCCCCACCATTCCAGGAACAATCCTGCCTGCAGTTATCCTGGATACTGTTGCCAAATGCATCCTCCTTAAATGTTACTTTGATTATGTCATCTCTCATCTTCCAACTCTCCTTTCTAAATTAGAGTGAATTATCTACCATATTGCTCTAGTGTCCTTCTTTCCTTCTGTCAGTATTCCCACAGCATTTAAACATCCAAACGATGAGTTGGCCATGTTTAAATATTTAGAAAACAAAATACTTTGCATCCTCCAAACATATAGGTGCTTTATGACATCGTATTTCTCTTTATAGTCAGGCAGTGCTTAAATAATTTTTTTTTATATATAAAAAGGTTTGTACACACATACACAACCAGATCTCCGATTATCACAGAGCTACGGCAACAATTTATTGACATACCTATGCTAAGCTAACCACGAATATTCTAAAAGGCTTTTACCCTTTGCCCCAGTGCTGAGACCAAAAACAGTATCTTTCCTCATTTCAAACACTTGAATTCCACAGAATCTACACAATGCAATTTAACCAAAACCATATCCTGGTTTTCATAAAGAGTGGAGATTTTTTTCCTGGGTAATATCAGACTTTTTTTTTTTTAGCATTTAATGTAAAGATATAGGCCATTACGTTATTGATCTACGGTATGTCATTGAGGTATCTTATGTTAAAATCGCGAATCTAAATCGTTTCCCTAAAACAATTTTATTTTAATTAAACAAAATATATTGAGCACCTCCAATATAAGTTACTGCGCCAGGTCCCACTAGATTATGCAAAGATGAAAAACCATGGCCTGTGCCCTCAGGGAGCTATAGATTAGTGAAGGAGGAAGATATAAATGCCAGAGGCTAAAAGAGGGGACGCCTAGGATGAGGGCTATCATAGAGCTGCAAACCAAATGCAACAGGAAAACCCAGTACACAGAGTTACTTTCCATTGGGAAGAATACGGGTAAACCAAGCGGATCTCCGTTAGGCTTTGGAGGAAAAGGGACATTTTCTGTATGTGTGTCAACTCAGTTCAAGGTAAAGCCAAAAGTGAATTTTAGAAGTAGCACCTACCACAGTGCTCTTCTCTACCCCACGCATGTGGTAAGTCATCTTGGCAGTACCATTTTGTCACTAACTAGAAGCCTGGAACCATAAAATACCACAATATCCCCGAAATAGATGGTGCCTGATAAGTTTCTCAT